GGAAAGTGTATTAATATTTTAATTTTTAAAAAATTTTAAAAAATAAAAAATATATTATTTCAAGTATAAAATACAATTTTAAAAATAATTGGATACCAAACGATCGAATCTATTAATTGTCTTTCGATTAACCAAAGCTAATCCCTCCAACTCGTGTGATCTGCGCGTACTTTGCTGACCAAATTGCGGGGTCAATTTGTATAGTTGATATTGATTGCATTACCAAGTATTCAATAATGCATTTTTTTAGTTAAGGTCAAATATTGTGACAAAGTAGAATTTAGTTAAATAATTTGTTCACTAAGAAATATTTTAATTTGTTCAAGTAACCTTCATCAACCTTCATCGAAGCTTGATAAATTTCGATACTGTAATATATTAACTTTAATTCTAAAAAATTATTATTTAAATCTTTTAAATACGATCATTTATTTTAAATGAATTTATTTTTTGTGATATATACATGACATTTTAAGGGAATAAGAGCTCATTGTTGGAAAAATTAATTAGAAGCTATTAATAGAAAAATAATATAATAAAGTAGGATAAATAAAATTATATCAATAGAAAAATAGATCATAGATGTATTTCTTCTAAAAGTATTTCTTGATGCTTTAAAGGACTATATGCAAATATGTACTCGCAGTGCATGAATATATGTGAATACTCTTGAAAGTGAATTGTATTTGAAATCTTTTAAAACACTTTTTTATTATATATCTTCTCTCATGTAAATGTTCAAGAATGTTTATGCTTATATAAAATGACAATAAATAATAAATTAATTATTGAAATATAATTTATTTTTTAAAGAAACTTATGAGAGTTAGTAACAACCATGCAATGGCCGGTAATGATTTTAGTAAGTATAAATAATAGTGAAAATTTATTTAATATCACAATAACTAATTGTATTACTATTAATATAATTGTTCTTCCATTTAATAAACAGATAGAATATTAAAAGATAATCATCACAATATCTTACATGAAAAATAATAATAATTCTAATCAGCAAAATCTCAACCAGCTTAACCAGCTTGATACTAGTTTAGTGTTAGAGAAATCACATTGCACTACTTTTATTTCAATAAACTCATAAAAGCTAATAACTATTAGAGAATAATATAAATTGGGAACTCGCCTAATAATTTAAGTATTTAGATTGAAATAGTTTTTTGACATAGTATCAAAGCTTTCATGATTAAGTAGTTATAAGTTCAAATCACCGCCTCCATTTATCTTAATAAAAATCAAGCACAAAGTAATATAGGTTTATGCAAGTTTTAAGTCTAAAAAGCTTTTACTTGAGGGGGAGTGTTGGAGAATAATATAAAATATATTTTGAGACATCACCTAATACCTTAAAATTTTAGGTTAAGATGGTTTTTTGACAATAACAATAATATAATAACTAGTAATTGTTATATGAGTATTAATAGTAATTAAACTTACATATCACCATAATTTATTGTTTCAATATTATTGTAATTGTTAATCCATTTAATATAAAAAATAATTCATTTAAAACAAATTAAAAATAAAATACTATTTCTTATGATTAAAACATTATTTTTTATTTTTTTTGTATCTAATGATTGTTTATGCTTATATATTGAAAAAATAAAAAATAAATTATTTATTAAATTATATTTTTTGATTAAACTCACAATGGCTTGCAACGACTATACTAGTTGTTGTTACCAATTATACGGCCTAACATAAATAGAAAAAAAAAAAGAAAAGAGAAAAAAGAAAATACAAAAAATTGAAAAAATATTGGAAGAAAATCATAAAAGTATATTAGTAAGAAAAATATACTAGAACACTAAGAAAATGGGTGAAGACTAGTTGAAGAAGATCAAAATGTACAAGATTGAAAATTTTGATAGTGTATTTTCAATTGATAAAGACTCTATTGGCAAAGAAAAAATCAATTTGAGGAGGGAAATTAACAATTGGATGTTCAATAACTCAATTAGAATTTTTCAAGATTAATTAAATTTATTGAGGGGTTAATTGCAAGAAAAAAATTGATTTTTAAAGTCAATTTAGACTTTAAGTTGAAAAAATTAAAGTCTAGGAACCGAATTGTGATTTAAGAGATAATTTGATCAAATCAGATGCTTAATTGTATAAATATTGAAGTTTTACGGATAATTAAGGACTTAATGGAAGATATTTAAAACTAAGAATCAAACTGAAAAATACATAAGAATGTAGGGGCTAAAATCGACCAAATCAAGGTTTGAATTGAAAAAATTAAAAGTTTGTAGGTTAATTAAGGGTTGAAATACACAAATTTATAACCAATAACTAAAATAAAAATAGCGATCAACTTTGAGGTCGACAATTGAGTTTGACAAGGGTCAATTTGAAAGGTGATTATGGTGTAATTAAATAAAATTTAAAGAATAGAGACTCGATTAAAAGTTATCAATCTCAAATTAAAACCCTAAATAAGATGTCATTCGAACCTAATAAAAACAATGTGATTGACACATTGTTTGTCACCTAGGCATCTATGTTTCAACAGTTTTGATTGATTAAGTTGACAATATCAAATGAATGAATATGGCACTACTGAGTTCAAAATTGAGCAAGGTTGAATTCAAATAAAGGTGTTCATCCTCTTTACTAGCTTTTGGTGGTATCAAGTAATGATGATGTCATAATTACTCTAACAAAAGCCTAAAAATGGGTAACTTAGTCAACCTTAATAATGAAATTATTGTGTGAAAACTAATTTATTTTTGTGTATTCACACATAAAAGTTCTTTAATGGGTTCTTATCACGGGTTTATAATACTTTCCTGAATATTAAGAAGTCAAAAATAAATTTAATACCTCTTAAAACGCTATAAATATTATCGTTAAGATATATATATATATATAAACATGGGAGGAAAAAAAGATAAGAGAAAGAGAGAGAGAGAGAGAGATATCAATAAAAAATATATGTGTAGAGGTCCAAAAGTTTAAACAAAGATTTTTTTAAATTTTGCAGGTTTGTGAAAGACAAAATTTTTCAAAAAAAAACCAAGAGAATGTAGTTGTTCTAAGTATACCTTATTTAATCCAAAAGTAGGTCTTTTATAGCTTACTTTGTTGTTTTTATATATATTATGTTCTATATTTATGTTTATAAACATGAAAAAAAAGGTTTGAAATGCTTAACAAATGATGTTATATTCATCTCTTTGTTGATATTTTTTTTTTATTTAATGATTTTTTTTGAAGTCCTTTTATATTTTTGATATATTAAAGTTGGTGTTTAAACTTTATATATATATATATATAATGTCATTTTAGTTTTTATTTAGCTTAGGCTATGCATATTAAAGCAAAGGTTTTTATTTTAGATTTGTTTATACACAAAATGAGTTTAGAAAACCAGTTTTGAATTTATGTTATATGAACATATAGGATGTTTTAAGTTGATAATTTTTGGATTGATACCTCATACTTAATTTTGATGTTTTGATTATCTTTTGTTAGTTTTTTTTGGATTTAAACTTGTTATTGTATGATATTGTGACTTGTTGGGATAAAAGAAATACATATTTCAAAGGCCAAAAATATCTATTTTTAAGGTTTGACGTGATTGGGCATGTCTTGGTTTTTAAAATACTTTGACATGTTTTTAAAAATATATTTCATAGATTTTATAATAAGTTTGTAAACTTCCAAAGGAATTTAACCTATATTTTAAAAATACAAAAAAATTATTTTATCTATTTTAATATGCAAAATTATAAACTTAAAAGATGTATTTATGGTGTTAGATAAAAAAAACTACTTTATTTTATTTTTGTGTTGGCATTAAAATTACTAGATTTTAACCTGATAAAATAAAATAAAAATTACTAAGAAAAACTTTTATTAAACTCTAGATAAATCATCTATTAGAAGACATAACATTATAAATTTAAATATTATATTTAAATCGATTATTTTAACCTTTTTTTTCTTTTTTTCATATCATCTAAATTATTTAAATTTATTAACTCCAATCAAATCAATAATACTAGTCTCGAGTTGTTTTTTTTTTGTTTTAACAAAACACTTGTATTGCCTTGACTTCCCTTTGTGGTGTAAAAAATGGAGACACAGGAGGGAACACATTAAAGAGATATGGCATGCCAGCTTCCACCCTTTTAATGGCTGTAAATTTCAACAGGCATTCTTATTCTCCCATACACTTTTGTTCTTATACTCTTTTTCATATATAATTTCAAGGTGCTTAATCATTCTTTAAAAAAGAGGTTATAGAGATTTGGGGAAAAAAAAAAAAGTGTCACCATAATATATGCCAGGTGTGTATATCATGAAAAAAGACTTTAAAAAAGAGGTTATAGAGATTTGGGAAAAAAAAAAAAAACCCACCATCGACGTAACGTGTTCACCGTAGGAAACATCACTAGACTGGGTGTAATTGTTTCAGTATTATTGTATTAATTAACATCATAGCTGCACGTCCGTACTAGGATAATATTTGAAGTTGCTTGAGTGATTGTTTTTAAAAATATTATTTTATATAAAAATAATATTATTTTATTTTTTAAAATTTATTTCCAACACCAACATTTTAAAATAATATAAAAAATTAATTTAAACAAAAATTAATTAAAAAACATAACATGACCACAAAAATACACTAAGTGTCTAGAGCAACTAGCTTTTATTTTGTTTATTAAATGTTTTTTATTTTTAAAAATATTAAATTAATTTTTAATGTACTTTTAATGTCAAAAATAAAAAAAAAATATTTTACATATTTTCAATTCAAAGATATTTTTTTAAAAAAACTATATACCATATTATTAAATACACTAAAAAAAGATTATAGTAAAGAGGATAGACAAGCAAATTAACTAAAATATAAACAAAGGATTTTTTATTTTGTTTTGTGAAATTCTTTAATATAAATAAAGGAAAAATGAAGCCCACAGGACCACAATATACAAGACGAAAAGGGATGACAATCCCAAGTACACAAGTGGGAAAAAGAATGACAACCCAATATATTTCTTTCATAAATAAAAGTTCAATAATGATTATTATTATTTTCACTAAAATATTGTTTTAAAATAAAAAAGTAAACCTAACTCAAAGATTGGGTTTTGCCGGTTTCTTGAATTTTTTATTTTCTATCACAACTAATGACCAAATTACGAACAAGCCCCACATGATTTTTCTTTTTCTTTTTCTTTTTCTTTTTCCAAATGATCACAAGAGCCCATAAGTCCAATAATCTTGATCCAATGCCATTCTTGGGCACTGATTGAGAAAAGGATCAGACATGGTTGCTTGCTTCCTGTCACTGTCCACATCACTGATTAGCAAATCCCAACTACTCAAGTCATCATCCCACAAGCCAATGTCGACATTGTTGATAGGCCACTCAAAATCTGGCAATAGCAACTCATCAAGGATATTGTTTGAACCATACGAAGAAGAAGAAGATGATGACGACGATGACGATGATGATGAAGAGGTTGAGGTTGATGAAGGATAAGGTCCAGGGACAAACATTTCATGGGGTTCAATTAGTGGAACTTCATCTATGCAAAAACCATTCATTCGCTCCATTGTGTCATATGTGCTACCAATGTTATTCTCTTCATCTTGAGTTCTAGCTGATTTTAATGATGTCTCAGGTTCATTATTTTGGCCCAGTTCAGATATGTCATTGATGGAGCTAGACTGTCGTCCAGCTTGCTGCTCTAGTTCTTGTATACTATTCTGCACTTGAACATCTTGCTGTGGTGGTGGTGGTGGAGGAGGTGTTTCAACAGTAGAGAGTGGCTTGTGAGTGAGAGGATCAATTCCCATTTTCCTTAGCTTCTTCTTGATATGAGTATTCCAATGGTTCTTGATTTCATTATCAGTTCTTCCTGGTAGATGTGATGCAATCTTAGACCATCTGTTAAGCAGCAAAAAAACAAGTATTAGACTTAATCAAAACGATTAAATGAAGTTAGATCTAGAAAATTAAGAACAAAAGGTTCAAAAAAGGTGAAGTGTGGAAAATTAGTAGTAGTAAGCTCTATGATGATGATTAGGGACCACTTCAAAGCATAGTGATTTCTTATGGCCACCAAACACCAACTGTTAGTGGCCCATTTCAAAGAAGTAAGCGCGTAGCTTGAGTAATAATTACATAAGAACATCATGCTTCTTGAAATTTAGACCAATTTTTATAAAAAGTAGTAAAGTGAATAGTACTCGTGGCTGACAAAATCCCCATTAACAGCCTGCATATATAGTCTGACAATTCCGTGGATGCAAGTACTGCACTAAATAATGAAATGGAACAGAGTCCAAAATCTTGACAGTTTTGCAGTCCAAGAAGATCACTGCAAGTTGAATATTAATCCTGGCTTATGGGAATATTATTATTTGAAGTAAATAATGGGAAAATCTTCTTAGCTTGGAGTTGGTCCAAAGCTTTCATGGAAAGTATTGTTTTTAGACAAAACTTTACCAGAAAAAAGTAATTAAAAAAGCCTAATGCTGAAGAATGATCAAATTTAGCTTGAGCAGGAGATCAGATCAAGCTGAGGGAAAGAGGGATTGTAACTGAAGAGTTGCTGAAGACTGAAAGAGATAGACAACCTGTTGCCAAGTTGAGCATGAAGATCAATGACCATTTTCTCTTCATATTCTGATAAAAGACCTCTCTTCAAATCTGGCCTGAGATAGTTTGTCCATCTCAGCCTGCAACTCTTCCCACACCTTAACAATCCTGCAATGACAACAACGATATAGCGATGGTAAGTAAATGAAAAATCTTTTTAACCGTTCATTTTCCTTTCATTAAGGATAAAAAAGCCATCAAGATATAAGAGGTCTTTCAAAACTCAAGCTTAGGAACAGCTTAGGAAAGCCATCAAGATATAAAGGAGAAAAGAAGAGAGAGCAGCAAGAACTAAAGATATTCAAGTATAGGAATGATGGGGAGAGACCTGCAAGCTTAGGAACAGCTCTCCAGCAACATTGGCCATTAGCGAGGATGAAGTTAATGAGTTTCTTATCCTCATCAGCGGTCCAAGGGCCTTTCTTCAATCCAACTTTGTCACAACACGGTTGCCTTCCCATCTTTCACAAGATCACAAACACCAAAATGTAGAAAACTAATTTAAGATCTTAAAGACAGAAAGAAAAGCTGATAATGAGACTCTTCTTCCTCTTTGAAAGACAAGCAAATAGCAAGGCTATCATGGACACCACCTACTTATTTATATATAACTCAACCTACCCTACCCCAGATGGACTTCTGCAACATGGATTATTTTATTTTATTTTGACTTTAGAGGTTTTTTTTTTTTTCAATTTCATGTAATTAATGTAGTGCTACATTTTTTTTTTCTTCGGGTAGGATAGTGCACTCGAGTTGATGTTCAAGACAACACGTACGACACGTGCGATTGTCTTCGTCAGAAAGCTCTGCGTCATCAAACCTTTCTTTGCTTGAGGTTGAAGCGTTAGTAGGAAAAAAAACTTGCTACTCCACCCCACTCTCACACCTCCATGCCAAAAAGTAAATAGTGAAAAAAATCAACAAACTGTAATCCCTACAACAAACTGTAATCCCTACAGCATGTTATGAAAAACAGCTCAAATTAGATTTTAAATTAAATTACATGGATTTACCATATAAAAAGTTAATTTGAATTTTTTAAATTATTTTATAAAACAATATTGTTTTAACTTTTTATTTTGAAATAGTATTATTTTATATTAACCTGAATTAATTTTGATTAACATACTTAATTTGTGATCCAAATCTTTAGACCAAACTTTAAAATAACCACATTCATCGCGTGTTAATATTTTTTATTTAATTAGGTATATTAAGTTTGATATTTTTATAGAAACTTATTTTGTAATTTTTTATCTTCTTTTTTTTTAAATGCTTTTTTCTTTTTTCAATAGGTTTTTCTTAACACTAATCTACATCAAATATTTTTTTTATATATAATTTAATAGAAAGTTTGTACCTGAAATATCTTTGATTAATATACTCTAAACACAGAAAATAATTGAAAAGACACTTTGTACCTAAAATATCATTAATTAACATATTCTAAACCCTAATTTTTGTAATGCATTTCATACTCTAAACATCGGATTGAAAAATAAATTTCTGATTTTGTTTACAAGAAGCTATATTGAATCTAAGATCTCATGAATATTTTGAGATTTTGATTTTTTTCACCTAATTTATTTATATAGTCACCTCTTATGATTTTATATAGGTAATTAATGGCAAACCACATGGCTAAACAAAGAATGTTCAGAAACATGGAATTTGTTGCTTGGCTTTAATTTTTTGATTGAATTGTAGGATGCAGTTTGTGTGTCGGCTTCTGGAGGGGAGGAGCAGAAATACAATCGTTTCAGATTTTATTATACATAAATTCTTTTCTTGTGATCCTTTACGAGTTCTCCCCCATATTTTATTTGTTCTAAACTAGAAGATAAAGGGCGTAAAAAAGCATGCCACTGGTTGGCGTGATATAATATTTTGTTCTAAAAAAGAGTTGATTCTTCAAGATCTCAGAGGCAATTCAAGTTTGTCAACTCTTTACCTTGTGTGTGTTTTCTATGAAATAGATTTTAATGATTTAAGTGTTTCCTATAGTTTGGGAAGCTGTTGTTCAGATAGTTTTCTTGCATCCAGTTTCTAATTCAATGTACCTAATTTGATAAAATTCCTGGTATTGGTAGGTCATACTTATCTTTCTAAGTATTTCTTTTTCTAGTCTTTTCTTTTAAGGAATTTTCAACAAGTTTCTAATTTTGTTGGCCAATGCCACTAACTCCCTACCTTTGTGACATATATTATGTTCCCGATTGCTTTCTGTTAGCTTTATTACTTTATCCTAATAGACCCTCACTGAATTATTATCATTGTCTTTCATAGGTTTCATGTTGCTTATCAAAAAAATATAGTCACCTAATTGATAAGCTAAGTTTAATATTTTTTTTGTATATATAAAAATTAGCTAAGTTGATTATTCATTGCATATGATAAATATGAATAAACTATAGTTATTATAATCACCATTCTACAATTTGCTTAATAATTACCTTTTGTTTTTTTTAAATAACGCAATCCAAAGGACATTACATATTAGGCTGGAATAATTATAAAAACATTATGCTTATAGAAAAGAATATGATATTTATAATCTTGTAAAATAGTCTCAAGAATCTTATGTCTTAAGCAAATCTTAATCTAATCCTAGTTTTGCTCCTTACTAGATGGGCAAATAGCCCTATTTTTCTTTGTGAAAAATTATGATTTATTGAAGAAAAAAGCCTAGACTAACACAGGTTTATATCTAATATACAGTCAGATATATTTGGTGTCTCTTTGGTGTTCAACAACTTTAATTGAAATGAAATTATTGTGTATGACAAGAATAAAACTAATTGGCATAGATATTTTATTGTCTCGATTAACTTATGGTTTTTTTTAGATATTTTTTTTTTGCATAGCCATAGTTTTTATTTTTTGCTTTATACCATTCACAAATATCTTAATTGAGAATTAATTTTATAGTTTGATTAAAACTTATGGTTTTTTTTCATCTTTTTTTTTTTTTTGCATGATCATATTTTTTGTTTTGTAGTTCAAACCATTCACAAATATCTTGAGTGAGAATTGACTTTATAATTTGATTAAACTAGTTTAATAATGAACTCTCACAATGTTAGATAAACATCCTAATATTGATTTCATGCTTGATTTGCAAAAATTATTTTGAATTTTTATTTAACAAATGATTGGAAATAAATGAACTAAGATTGAGTTGGGTTAAAAAGGAACCCTTTCTATGTAAAAAAGAGGAAATAGGCACAAAAATCAATGAAAGAGATACGAAAAGGAGAGAAAAGAAAAATAGGTCCCTATAAACATGCTAAAGATTCATTGATTACACACATTGTCTTTATAGAAATCGCATTCCATCATAATTTCAATGACATTAAAAATTGAACTAATAAGGTGGAGAAAAGCCCCTACACACCGTTTAATTGTTGTAATTCCTTCCATATGTTAGCAAGTCTAAATTAAACAAGAAGGAGAGGAATGGTCTTTTTATTTTATAATAAATGAGAAGATTTTATTAATATTTACTAGTGTCATAAAGACAATGGCCAAACTAGCAAGTAAAAAAAGAACACAACTGTTTCATTTAAAAAGAAAAGGGAGACATACAAAAACATAGAATAAGCTATATACCATAAAACAAATAAGTGAACAATACTGAAATGCCTTACTAATTTGACCAAAGAGGGACCCCATCTGAACGCTTGTGTAAGTTCATTCCTATATAATGGTAGTTTTCTTTAATTGTTTCTAGCTAAAGTGTCAGGTGATAAAAAAAAAAAATTAATTCAAAGACAATATTATAATCAGTAGAATCTTCCAACAACACCATTTTGTTTCTAGCTAACCAAATACCTATAATATACCAAAGGCCAAACTAAAAATAATTTTGCTATCGAATTTTCCTTTAACCAAAGCTAACATGTATATATTGTTTAACTGAACTAGATAATAAAGTTGTTAAATCATTAGCCATTATTTCCACAAACAAATCCAAAGATCTATTCATGTTAGTATCTTAAGATAAAGTATTGTTCATTGCTAGCCTTGCAATACATTAGTGATAAATGATACTCACATCATCCAACTATGATTTCTTTATAATCGAAGATTTAACTTTTTCTTACAAGGAGTATGTAGATGATGGTAACTATTGAATTTCTGTAACTTTATTTTTTATATATAATTACAGGATTCTTTATTTATATAGAATGGTTTGTTTTTAATTTGCCATAGCTGTAGTTTCCATGTATGTTAAGTAGTTGTTGGTTTCTTTGAGATAGTTGTTGATTCCTTATTAATTTGTCAGTAATCTGCCATAAATATGGTTTTCATATATGATTGATTACCATTCTGAATATTAGTCGTTGAAGTAATTGTCCCTACAATCCTTGATATTAGTATGATAGGAGTTAATTAGTTACTGACAAGAATAAAGGTGATGTGCTATTATTACTACTATATCTTGTTGTTGTGTTGATGTTGTCTTCTATTGCTATTTTTTATTAATGTTGTATATGTGTTACAGAACTGTATGAGGATGAAGGAGAATTGATGTTGTTACTTGCAGTCATTGTTGTATGATTGTTAACACCCTTTCTCAAACATTGTCGAGGATAGAGGCAAAGTTTCCCTAAAAACGAAGAAGAGTAGCTTTGGATATCGGCCTAGTAAACAAATTAGTAATCTAATTAGAAGTAGGAATATGATGTGTAATAAGTTTTTCAAGAGCTGCATGTTCGCATAGAAAATGATAATCAATTTGAATATGTTTGCTTCGGGCATGAAAGGCAGGAATGACCATTATATGAAGAGCATTAAGATTATCATAATAGAGCACATATGGAGATATAATTAGAATGTGCAAATTGTGAAGGATATAGGTCAACCATATAAGTTCTGTGGTAGTGTTGGTCATAGCACGATATTCAACTTCAGTGCTAGAATATGAAATGGTATGTTGTTTCTTGGCATACTAGGAGATGAGATTACGTCCAAGGAAGACACAGTAGTTAGTGGTAGAACGTCATATGGTAGGACATCCAACCCAATCAACATTTGAAAAGGTAGAAAAATAAAGCTTAGTATTAGAAATAAAATGTTAACCATTATTAATAGTGCATTTAACATATCGTAAGATATAGCGTGACCATTGTTAAATGAACAATTGTAAGAGCATGGATGAATTAAGAGACATAGTTAACATTAAAAAAGAGGTCTAGTCAAATGACTATAAGATACTGTAGAGAGCCAACAAACCCGTGAAAAAAGCTAACATCTTATAGAATAGGTGCAATTGATGAAGTTTTAGTTTGTGCTTCAAGTGATTATTCATCGATTTATAGTCAAACATATCAACACATTCTAGAATTGTAAAGGTATAATGTGATTGTGATAAGTGAAGTCCATTAGTCGTCGATGAAATTTTTATGTTAAGAAAATGATGAGTAGGTTCTAAGTTCTTCATAACAAATTCTTGACCGAGAAGAGTAATGAAGCCTGCAACAAGTGTATCTATAGTTCCTATAAAAAATATATCATCAACATAAAGTATGAGAACGAGAGCCATAATCAGAATGAAAAACAAACAAACAAGAGTTTGCTAAACTGCAATGG